GTAAACCCTCCCCGCCTCAGCCCACGAACGGACAAGAGCCTGGTTTGCCCTGATAGAAGTTTTATTACAGAATTTTAATGGCACTGCAAGAGTAAGATAGTCATTAGAGCCCTAAAACCCAGCCTGAAAAATATACATTTTACATATGTCGTTAACCCCCTGCCGCAGGTCTGGTCTTAAAGCAAGAAACTAGTTTCTCTTCAGTAAGAAAATATATGTTGCTAAATGAAAAATATACAGTTAGAAGAGTTACTGGCTTGCAAGCTGCTTGTCTGGGGGTTAAACCTCTACCAGCTCCAGAGTGTGTAACTAGGGTTCTTTCACATGTAAAAGAGGAAGAGGTACAGTGTATATATATAAAAAAAAAAAAAGGCAAAATTCAGGTACGCTTGTTTGCTTGGTCCAATTAAGAAATGGCCTTGGCTTCGGGTAGGAACGCTTCCCAGTACTTCACCAGCTGCAGAGAGAAGAGAGGGAGAGAGTCAGGAGCCCACCACAGGAGCTTTGCCAGCACCGTTCAAGCCCAGAGTGAGCCGAGAAGCATTTTGGGGGAGGCAAAAGCCCCCTTGCAGGGCAGAGCCCAACCCCCCCAAAAAAAAAAGGCATCAAGGGGGATGGAACACTTAAATTTTGTCTTGCTCCAGCCCATGGGGGTTTATCCTTCCCCAGAGGTGGGGCGCAGGACGCACCCAGGGTGGGGGTTCACACTTCAGCTCGCACTGCTGAGCTTCGAGGGGTGAAACCACGGCAGGGGCCGGGGCTACTCACCTGTTGCTGAGAGTTTAATAACGTCTCAAGGTATTTAGTGACGTGGTTTCTGAAGTCCTTGGATTTCTCTTTCTGCAAGAGACAGGTGCAGGAGTGAGTACAAGGCTGAACGAACCATTGAAACCCTCCAGCTTATTTGGGGGGGGGGGAAGGAAAAAAAAAACCAAAACCAACCCACCAGGATTTTCCTGTTCCTCCTGGGGCCCCACAAAAACCAGCAGGAGATGCCGAGGATGAAACTCGCCTCTGGCCGCAGCGCGGTGGGCAGGCTCAGAGGATCTTTGCCCACCCCCCCCTCAGTTTAATGGACACCCTTCTCTGCGTAGAAGCCCCCTCTTAGCCAGACGACATCAGCTCTGCCCCCGCTCACATGTGTCCGGATACGCAAATACTGCCAGCCGCCGTACTTGGAGTGGGGTCAGTAGCCCAGGCGACCCTTGGCTAGCCCAGGCTGGTGCTCCCAGCCAAGGCACATCAAGGCCAACCAAGTGGAGGGTTGCACGCCGAGGGCTGCGCCAAACATACCTCAAACCGTATCACTTCCTTGCGGATGACAGCAGAAATCCGTTCAAAGTCTCTTTCGTATTGCGTCACACGAGTCTCCCACTGCAGAGAGAGGAAGCGTGCTGTTTCCAGGGCAGGGGAGGTGAAGAAGCTCTCGCTCCCCTCCGTAAACTGTTTCGTAGCCACAACTGTTCACGCGAGAGGCGCTGCCGGAGCAAAGCCCGGTATTTCTGGTCCTCACCACCACGGCGACCTGCAGCCCCTGCTTGCTGCAAGCTCAGCAAAGAAGCAACGGGAGGTGGGACCGCAAGCAGCCCCTCCTGCAGCTTCCTCAGGGTGCCCTTGGAGCAAGCCTGGCAACAGATACCTGTCCCTTCATCTCAAAAGGTCCCCTTAGCGCTGCTGGGGGGAAGGAGCCGAGCAGAGACCCTGGCACCCCTCGTTCCCTACCTCCGAGATCTCCTCTTTGGCCTGCTGCAGCTTGTCGGGTTTGTTGGCCCAGAGCAGCCTGGCCTCCATCTCCCTCTTCTTCTGCAGCATGGTCTGGGCGTCCTGCCACCGCTGCCAGGTCTTCATGCGCTGGTCAAAGGCTCCCTGAAAGGAAGGAGCAGAGACTGAGCTCTGCTCTGCCACCACACCGGGAGCTGCAAGGAGCTCTGCTGACAGCAACAACCTCGCCTTTGGGGACATCAGCTAACGACAGAGCCGCTTCATCATCGAGGTCCTGGACCCACCTCAGTGTAGCCAAAGCTGAACCAGAACACGGATTTGCTCTACCAGTGATGTTGCACCTGGACTCCTTCAACCAGCTCGTGGCTCCAGGAGCAGGTTTGAGGCCTCCCTCCGTACGGGGCTGCCCACCTGCTCGAGGGTTTGGCAGGAGAAAAAGCCCCAGCTACATGTGGTTCAGCACAACCCGGACAGGCCCGAGGCCACCTACCGAACTGGCAGCACCTCAATCACGATGTCTAACCTGTCCCCAAGCTCTGCTGCCGGCCCGTTTCAGTCCTGCCATCCAGAGTGGCCAGTTCAAGCAGCTACCCTTGCCCATCCCACACTGGATCTCCACCACGAGCTCCCACCGAGTTAAGCGCCCGCAGCTCCTGCCGACCGCACGGCACGCTCCTACGCCAGCTCGCAAGCGTCCGTCAGGAGGCCAGATGATTTTAACAGGCCTGCAAATCACCAGCCCAAGCAAGGAAGACCCATGAGACTTCTGAACGTGTCCAGCCAGATTGTGGGGAAGAGCTAGAAAAGCAGAAAGCAGTGTTTGATAGCCCAGTCAGAGCAGCCAAGAGACGGGTAAAGTCCAAGGAAACACTTAGGGCTCCTTACCAGAACATCCCAGATCAGTCTTATCACCTCAAGCACTATCAGAGATCGTGGTCCTGCTCTGGAGCACCCACCACACCTCCCAGTACAGACTGGCAAACCACGGAGGCTCATGCCTACTCACTAAGCTGCGTTCTGGCCCCTGTAGCCTCCGGAAGCAACTGCTCAGAGACAGGACAAGTTTGGGGCTGGAAGGAGTCAGCCCACCAGACTCACTTGGGCCTGGTTTCTTTCAGCCTCCAGCAAGGAGGCCCACACACCGAAGCGGGCTGCGTGGACCTGAAGACTCGAGGTCTCCCCCAGCAGGTGCTCGGCAGATCTATTTGCAACACCTCGATCACCATCTACCAACTCACGGGCTCCGTAGTAGCCGCAGCCTTCATTTCTGGAAGGGTTGAGGCCGCCTACGAGCCACGGGCTTTCTTCACA